TGTCTGTTATTAATTTTGTCTTCTTTTTCTTAGTTAACATTTCCTTTGCCTGTCATGTTGGCATTTCAAAAGTTTTGAATTTTGGAGCATTTTGGATTTTGGAGCTTTGGACGGGGGCTGCTAAACCTGTACTCAGGGCTCAGTCTGTCATCTCTGTGGCTACCCTTGAGCTGGGAGTGGGGAGTGGGCTCAGCAGAGTTGAGTCTCGCCGTGTCGGTCTGCTCTGAAAACTGGCTGTTTTCCTGCAGTTGGTAGCTGGGTTCTGAGTTCCAAAAAAGTTCATTCTCATACCTTTTCCTATTTTTTGTAAGTTGATATTTATGGAGGGCTAGAATTTGGAGCTCTTTTCTCTGCCATTTTTGCTGACACCACTCCAAATACAGTTTTATTCTGGTTTATCAGATTGTTCCAAATTTTTTCTCTCATTATAATACATATGCGAATAAAGGAAGCAGTTTTATTCAGCATGGTTGGAAATGTAGTCAAAAAAGCTTTTTAGTGTCTTGCTTGGTTTCAGATTTACTTATGTTAAAGCTTTGCAATGGTATTTGATTGGTCTAAAACATCACAGAAACGGATGAAAGAAAGGGAGCAAGAGTCTCCCCCGTCCGTCATTCGTGCTGCAGACCAGGAGCGGCGGCAGCGTGCAGATGCGTGCAGATGCACGCCTTCCTGATTGCTCAGGGCGCGCGCTGACACACAGCGCCACTTCACGTAAGATTACTCTTCCTGCCGCACGCTACTCTCAGCATCTAGACAATGAGAACAGAGCATGCTTCGTACTGAAGTGGCACAAACACGAGGGTTGGTGACGGACACGCCCGCCGGTTGTCTCTCGATGTCCAGAATCATTGTGTCCTGGCATCAAAGCATGGTCATGGATTTTCTCACTTGAGATTGTCGACACTTTCTGTCCTTGATCATCTCAGGATGGAACGATCCCAGAGATTAGAGTTCGGGATGACGTGGTCAGTGTCTGTATCACACAGAGGTGACAGTGGACGCCCACAGAGCTGTGCTGAGTGTGGGGTATCTGGGGAACCCTGGAAGGAACTGTGCTGAGTGTGGGGCGTCTGGGGGAGCCCTGGCCCTGGGGTGCAACTGTTCTGACTGTGGTACGTCTGGGGGAGCCCCGGACATAGGGAAGCTGTGCCGAGTGTGGGGCGTCAGGGGGAGTCCCAGGTGGGGAAGCTGTGCTGAATGTGGGGCATCTGGGGGAGCCCCAACTTTGGGACTCAGTTCCCCTGCTTTGTGCAGGCCTCGGGGAGTGGGACTGGCCTCCTCAGTGGACCAGACGTCCACATATGAGCCACCTCACAAGGCTAGTGTTCCTGGTGGCTGCCCTTGGGTTTGTTTGCTGATACATTCTCGCATTTTGCTGCGACACCTTGTAACTGCCTTTGTTGGAAACAAGGTCCACTTCGAGCCCACTCTCCTCGGTGTAGAGGGCCGCCATGGCAAGGTGGGTGTGTTCTGACAGCATGAGATATTTTCCCTCAATGGGAAAGTGGGCGTTTGGAACGTTTAAGTTTCTTGATCACATGTGTCTCCTTGTGGATATGGTAGGAAAAGGGTAAGTTGAATTTTAACCTGCTAAGACATAGCAGAACAGAATCTTCCAGAACTTTAATTTTTGAGCCAGTCCTAGTGGGATTGTGTGCATCGCCGAGGTGGTGTGTCACCCGGCTGTTGCTCACCGACTGTCCTGGGTGGGTCCCTCTTCAGCGTCATTCCAGTGGGAGCAACAAGACCCACTGCCCCACAGTCACACCAAACTGCTCCCCTCAGAGACCTTGCAGGCAGCTTCCTTCTCGGGGTCTGCATGGGCTGGAGCGGACGGCTGGTTTGAGAGATGCTGATGAGTTTGCCTTTCCTTGCAGACCACACCACCCCAGAGCCAGGTGCACCGAGGCCTCAGCCAAGCAGAGCCTGGTCATGGACGCGGACGACGAGGCGGTCCTGAACCTCATTGCAGAGTGCGAGTGGGACCTCGGCAGGCCTCCCGCGAGCATGAGCTCCAGCCAGAAGGAGCGCGAGGCCTACTCTTGTGGTTCCCAAGGTGCGCTGTTCACCTGCCTGCCTGGAGGCCAGCGGGGCCACCGGCTGTGGGATGTAGTTGTCACTGGCTTGGAGGGCACAGTTGCACTTTTTATGGGACTTAGCTGTGAGGGTGGGATCTTCCTGACGTGTGTGTGCTTGCCAGTGCCAGCCATTGGCCTGCAGAGTTACAGAAGGAAAACGTTACTGTATTTGAGTATAGTCATAGTGTGCGATGATTTAATTGTATCCTTCTGAGATCACGAGAAGAGGCAAACTGCCTAAATAGTCCAGGAGCCGAGTGTCCTGTGGCTATGGGGGCTGACATCAGCGGCAGCCGCCAGGGGCATCGCCTCTTAGCTCGTAGGAAACCCCGAGCACAGCTGCCATGTGTACATCCAGACCCCAACCCGGTGTCGCGGGAACGCAATTTGGGGCACGGAGGCTTCATGTGCATCACTCAGCAATGCCACCTTCCACTTGGGCACGGAGGCTTCACATGCATCACTCAGCGATGCCACCTTCCACTCGGGTGCAGAGGCTTCACGTGCATCACTGAGCAATGCCACCTTCCACTCGGGCACAGAGGCTTCACGTGCATCACTCAGCGATGCCACCGTCCACTCAGGCACACAGGCTTCACGTGCATCACTCAGCAATGAGGCCTTCCACTTGGGCATGGAGGCTTCACATGCATCACTGAGCAATGACGCCTTCCACTTGGGCATGGAGGCTTCAC